TATGGTCCATGTATAGTTTCTATAGTTCAGGTGTAGATTCTATGGTCCATGTGTAGTTTCTTTGGTCCAGGTTTAGTGTAATTTCTATGGTCTATGTATAGTGTCTATATTTCAGGTGTAGTTTCTATGGTCCATGATAGTTTATATATTTCAGGTGTAGTTACTATAGTTCAGGTGTAGTTTCTACGGTCCATGTACAGGTATAGTTTCTATAGTTCAGGTGTAGTTTCTATGGTCTAGGTGTAGTTTCTTTTGTAGAACTTTTGTGCAACTAACATTCCTGGACGGCCTTCAGCTGTGGAGACACTGTGAACAAACAGTGATCAATGATTTTTCTTGAGATGCGATTTTTGTGGAAACCAACCCGAGGATCACTGCATCCCTCTGGGACGGAGGAGGTGAAACCTTGTAAAACCCAGATCCTCCCTGACATATCTCCCCACACATGCTAAAGCACTCATTTCCCTCCCTAAATGTCACATGTTTATCTTCTGTGCCATCGGAGATTCCCCGTGCACTCTTCTGATATTTTAATCACGCAGTGAAAATTTTTAGCTTTCATCCTTCAGCCAAGTTTCCTCTGTGCATAGGTGGTGCTGTGCTGCAGTTACCGCCATCCGTCAGGATGAGGGATTTAATGCTGTATGTTATGGTGCTCCTGGGAGGCGTTGTGTGAAACCAGTAAATCACAAGCTGTGACCTTTGTTGGACTTGCGGTCTAGTTGTAGCTGTGAGTAGAACGTTGGTGGCCCTGAAAGACCTACAGCTCATCATAATGGGATTATAATGAGTAAATGTGGCCCCGCCCAGCACCCGTAATGGTGCTGATGGTCTTTCTTCAGCTATAAAAACATAAAGCCACATGTTAGAGTGCCAAACCACAAGAAAACAAGATGTACAACCATGAGAAAAAACTGTGACTCTAGGCTCTAATTTGAAATATAGATTTTTTTTAAAATCAGATAATGTTGTGGCTACAATTATTAATATTCCCATTTGCAGGTATTTATATAACAATTGTTAACCTATAATTGTTACTGAAGTGAAGAGTTTCTTTGAGATCACATTTAAAACGTGCATGAGAAGGCACCTGGGAATTTTGGATATTATAAAGCAATTTCATCTTTTGAAACCTCATTAGGACATAGTTAAGTTTTAATTTTCCCTTCATAATACAAAATACCAAAAATAAGGACAGAGCACAGGTTTTATTTTGTTATTAGTCTATTTAACAAAGGCACTGCACGTTAATGCAAAATAGAGTAAATCTGCTTGAGTTGCCACAAGGATCATTTTGTCTCCCGTCATGGAGTGAAAAAGTAAGTTTGAAACAACCTCCATCCATCTATCTATCTGTCCGTCTTGTGAACATGAATAGCTACTGAGGTATCGATTTACATTTGGGTGTGAGCCTGCATCTAAGAAAGGTTCCTATCAAAAAGTGGGAGTGCCACGCCAAAATCCAAGATGGCTACTACCATATATATGTAAACTGGCTACACCTAGCATTTGAGGAAACTGTGTTTTCTAGTTTTTATAATGCTTAAAATTTAGTTTCCACAAATGATTGGGGTGGCAGAAGATTATTCTGTGAAGGCCAAGGCCACCATTGGCCACCCTCGGGCTCCACCATTGCACCTGATGGTGGATAAAACTGCTCCCACTACTCTTCAGGATCCATCAATGTGCTCTGCCTCGAACAAAAAAAAAAAATGAAATGACTCCCTCTGTTCTTCTCCACAGTTTAACTCCTCCTCACTTGAACATCTCGCACCAAAAACATTTAGGTTTACTTCATTCTCTGTTCATATCCAGTCCAGAAAAACACTCATCTCCAAAACTACAAACATTTAACATTCAAACTCCCCAGAGATGGGTTTACCACTTGTTCATTTAAGTGTTAATTCTGTGTCAAATTTGCCAGATTATCTACTCATGGCACTGATTTGAAAATCTGTCAGCTGTTGATGTTTTCACGATCAAACTACAACCAGAAGCTGTTGTTGATTTTTTTTTTTAAAGAAATGAACACTGGGGTGGCAAACCTAAACAGTATAGCCTAACCACCAGCTAAATGTAGTCGTAGTTCCAAAGTAAACACAAATATTCTGCAGAATGTTCTTTTGTTACTGTTGTTTTTGTTTTGTGAAATACCTTCAAGATCCTGACACTGATGTTAGCTGGTTCAGCAGCAGGAAAGTAGCAAGGCAGCATTTTCAGACCAATCGACCTGAAAACTCAAGAGTTTGTCGCACACGTTTGGTTTCAAAACACTTTAAAAGAGAGACGATGTCACTCCTCTAGCAGACAAAACACAATTATTTGTGTTTTTCTGGTACAGAAAGGAATTTCAAACATCCAGCTTTGTCTTTTTCAACAAGTGGAAAGATTTAGGGGTGGTTCCTGTCTGACTGACAGCTCAAAACAGGAAGTAGAAGTGGAGGTGGGTTCTTGTGAGTGTAAATCTGGTGCTGACATCATGATTGAAAATCATCGTATACCTTGAAACCAGACTCTGAGCCATCCTCCTGGATTTTTGTACCCCACCTCACTTCCTGTGGTTTTCATTTTCATAACACATGTCTACTTTCTCCTAGATGTCCGTCAGGATTCTTCGGCATGAGATGCTCAGAGACTGATCCACTGCGGTTGTCCGGGTTCAATCCGTCTAAAAGTATGTCCACCTGATATGAGCAGCTGAGAACAGGGACGCAGTTGTCACTGCGTTACCTCAGTGGACTCCTGTTGCCCCTTGCACCCCACTCTCTCCAGTTTTCTTGCTCTTTCTCCTCCATTGTTTTTCTCCTTCTCAGGTCAAGTAGCAGTGAGCTGTGCACGTCAGCGCGCACACAGCGGTGTCACCGGGGAACGCTCTGCTTTTGCTGTCTATAGTTGAGCTGTTTGGTCTAATTCTGTCTCTCTCTCTCCCCCACCCTCTCCCCCGTTTCTCTCACTTTTCTTACACATTCTCTCCTGTGCTTGTTTTCTTTTTTCCTCACTTTCACCTTCCTCCTTCCTCTGTTTCTGTGGCTTTCTCTCTTTCCATCAGGTGTCCAAATGCATTTACTGGTGATCGCTGTCAAACCTACGTTATGGCCGGTTTCTACCGTATGTCGACTTCCTCTGCTGTCTCTGTGTCGGACTGTCCTCGTGTTGTGTGTGCATGCTGGGTGTATAGACTGAGTCCACGTCCTGTCGTTTACCTGATATTTAAACGGGTATCTCCTTCGACGACTCAGTCCCAAGCTGGCGTAGATTAGTCCTCTCTGTTTCTGTGTGCTGTTATTTGTAACTAACGGAGCGTTGCATGTGCGCTCTCAGACCAACAGCGTGCGGTAAATCTTCACACCGTGAGCTGCGTCGTGAATTTAAATGCTTTGTGGAAGCTGATTTGCACATAGTGAGCTGCATGTAACAACAGTCTAATGAGAAAATGATTACAGAAACATTTCTCGAAGCTCACCAAAGGTGTCTGCTTGAGCAATCGTTTAGTCGACGTGCAAGCATGTGTAACATGACTCGAGCTGATCGATGGACTGAGAGCCAAGCCGGAGCAATTAGCAGTGACTAATGACGCATGATTTATCTGGTACTGTAGGTGGTACAAGAGTTCTGCAGTCAGAGATCGAATCAGCTCAAAACTTCATTTTACGTTTTTCTTTTAAATATGCATTCCACTCACAATGCCCTGATAAGAAGCACAACTGTGTCATGTTCAGCAACCCTGTTGGGAACAATTAATATCTTACATGTTGCAGATAGCCCTTTGAGCAACTTCAGTTTGGAAAAACAGAGTTAAGTTTTTATCAGACTGACGAGCTAACAGCTAGTCTGAGTGAGGCCGAGACCAAAGCAAAGCTGCTTTCTTAAAACAACTCTGATATTAAGCATTTCAGATACAGAATATTCATAGAAATATCGTTTTAAATGTACCTTTTTTTTTTTGGTTGTATAAGTCGCACCTTTTTTCATAAATTTGCACACCCTGCGACTTATACACCAAAGAGACTAGAGCTGGACAATAATTCGATATCGATAAATCTTGCGATATACTTTTATTCAATAACGATGATAGGAATTTTAAGCACATTTTCGATATTTCAATAGGATTGCAGCGTTTTCTGTTCGGGTTGAAGCGGCCACTTTAGTTTCAACCCGGACAGAAAAAAAGTGCGACACAACTACCTAAGTGCGTGGTGACGTAATGTTATGCAGAGCTCATGTCCAGAAGGCGTTAGTGTGAGCAGGCTAATCTCCAACGCGCGTTAAGTTTTCACTTCAAAATGAGTGCCCGTGATCGTCAGAATGTGACTGAACAAGCTTTCACAAGCGAAGAGAAAGCAGATGACATCACTGATAAGAGAGGAAAGACTAATTAGCTGGTTTGGAAATGGTTCGGCTTTCTACGATCCAATAAACTGCAGGTTTCAGTCAGTGTGCTGCAAAATGTGACGGAGAGTCGTTCTAACTAGCGGTTGGAGCATCTAACTTGTTCCACCTGACAGAATATGCTGAGTCGCAAGATGAAGCACAATAAAGTTTGAGCCAATGTGTCCCTGAAACACCCCCAGCGCTGCATGTTAAAAAAAAAGTATAATTTATTCATTCATTTAAAATAAATCAAATTCATCAGAAAGAAAAAAAAAATCATTGAATGAAAATGTTGCAGAAAGAAGAAAATAATTCTTATCTGCCCCTAATTTAAAAAATACAAATAACTACAAACAAACAACAACCTTGACTTGAACAATCTCCAAGCTGAAAACACAAAAACTTCAGGTATCCCTCACCTGGTACTATACTTTCCCCAACAACTTTAACATCTTTTTAAACATATAAATTGTTTTAGAAATTTTTATGGTGATATCAAGACAATTCCATAATCCTTTCCCTGAATTACAACACAGCTCCTTCACACTAGTTCTAAATGGAGGTTTTACAAACATTTACATTCCCTTAAGTTATATTGACTCTCCTTTTTTAATATTTATTTTTTACAAATTTTAATTGAATATTTGGGGCTAATATTTTTATGAGCTTTATGCATGACTTGTAAAATACTATATTCAACTAAATCATAACATTTTAATTATTTCAATTGATGACATAATATATTTGTTGGGTGACCATAGCACTTCATAATACTAATAATTCTTATAGCTCTTTTTTTGTAAAAATAAAAATAGGGTTTGTAATTGTTCTATTTCATATGGAACAATCGTTACATTATACAATATATACAAAGCTTTGTCATTCAAAAACTCTTTTACTTTATACAGTAATGCAATTGATTGTTATTTTTATTTTTAAGTATTTTACATGATATTTCCATGTCAGCTTCTCATCAGTAACGACACCCAAAAAGTTTATTTCATTAACAACGAATGTCAATGCTGTCAATTTTAAAGTTGTTGTTTAAAGTCAAAACTATTAATATTGACAAAGTTGAGAATTTTATGTTTATTTGACAGTGATTTCAATTTTTTTGAAGGCTAAATACAAATAAAAGGTGAACATTAATTTATTTGTATAGTTTGTAGTTTTTCTGTGGCTTTTATATTGTTTATATCAATATCGAATTATATCGTTATGACCGAAATTAAGAAATATATCGTGATAAAAGTTTTGGCCCTATCGTCCAGCCCTAAAAGAGACTAATATACTTTTTTTTTCCTCCCATATTTATAAACCAATTTTTGTCTGAGATCTGATGATTTCATTCATCTGACATGGAAAATATTGAACACTACCATTTTCAGCCGCTAGAGGGCCCTCAAGTAATATGTCACGCCATCTTCGTCTCGCTCCGGAACTCATGGAGCAAACGTCAAATCAGATGCATTTCGCTGCCCAGGTGAAATGCATCTAATTTGACCATTAAAGTGCATTTATTGAGGACAAGTTCAACTGAGACACACCTTTACTATAACATCGAGCAAACAAATTATTGTTTTTAAATGTTAATCTTGTTAAATTTTGAAGAAATGCACAGCGAGTCCTCCCCCTGCGCGCTCCCGCAGCCGTGAATCAATTTTTGAAATGCAGCTGATTTGACCGTTTCAGTGCATTTATTAAGAAAAAGTTCAACTCAGACGCACCTTTGCTATAATTTCAAGCAAACAAATAATTGTTTTTAATCTTGTTAAATTCTTGTTAAAGTCCTCCAGTGCACGCTTCCACAGCCGCCATTTGGCAGCCAATCAATTTTTGGCACAACACCGGCCCACGTTTCCAGGTGGTCTGAGGTGATACATAACAAACGCGATGCATCAGCGGTGACGCATAATAGATGCGACTTATACGGCGAAGCGACTTATTCATGGTTTTTTACACTTTATTAGACATTTTTGGACAGATGCAGCTTATATGGTGGTGTGACGTGTACAGCAGCAATTATGGTACATTGCTAATTATTGTTTTTCTCACAGCAATCTAGAATATTGTATAACTATTATATCCCTGCACCAGTAGTTGTACAGCTAGCCGTTGCTACTTGCGCTTTTGAATAATAATAGACTTATTTTTTTTAACCATGTAATGCAAAATAAATCATAGTATTAATCTATGAAAAAAAAATTGTATCTAATGGATTTGTTTTCAGATAGCATCAATCTACTTTTGTCTGTTCCCCACTCTGACTTGTCCTTGTCAGTAAAACTTTTACTGCAAACTGAGGTCATTCATAGTTATCTATAACAGGTAACATATACAAAACCTCACTTTAAAAGATGTTAATTTTAAAGTTTAACAACCACCGTTTTTATATACAACATATCTAGTGAAATATAATAGAGACTTAACAAATAAATACCTCTGTTTCAATTCAATTAAGTTTATTTATATTGCGCCAGGTCACAATAGAAGTCGTCTTGGCACTGAACAGAAACATTCACATACATTATAAAAGCCAATTAGTAAAGTTATTTATCTAAGGAAACAGCAGATTGCGATGAATCTTCACTTAGTTGCAGGCTCCCATCCTGAGCAAGCACATTGGCAACAGCCAGTGTCCAGTCTCTGGTGTGACATCGTCAGCCTTCGGTAATCATTAGCCATGTGCTCAGATGTTTCCGTGACTGTTTTTTTTTTTTTTTTTTTTAAGTGTTTTTAACACTTGTGTGGCCCAAATGCAAAAAAACAAACAAAGATATAACCATCATATTCTACAACAACGATTACCCCAAAGAGCTCTTGGGACTATAATGGTGTGTGTTGGACTTTAAGGATCCACCAGAACGTTCAGCTCAGCTCGTTTGTTGCTAACACGCCTTGCTTCAGTTTCTCGTCCAACTCTGGAGCCACCTAGTCTAGCCTAGTTAAACAGCTACGATGGGAGAAGTCAACTTGTCCAAACCCTACTGGCAAAAACATCCATCAACTGCCAAATCATCCCAAAAGACTTGTTGAGGACCACAGCTTGATTGGTCTTTCCCTCAAGGCGGTCTGCTTTTAATGAGAGCCCAAACAGTCAGGAGTCAAGCCACTTCAGCTGATGGCTTTTAACGCAGCCTCAGTCGTACACGTCATCCACACCCTTCTTGAAACAAATAATCTTGTGTTAATGGATTATAATCTGACACTCTGATGCAGACATTTCAGCATTGGGTCTTTGCAGAATCGTATGGCTACAATTCAAAGTAACAAACTGGAGTCTCCATCTGCTGATTACAGACTCATCCCCTCAGTCTGACTTGCTCAGCCAACATATGCTGTTTGTTGTATGTTTGCACAGACTAAATTACCAATTACACCCCCGCCCCCCTCCTCTAACTACAAGTAATTTCGTCTCACGTTAGGCCATGATGCACTGAGCTGAAATCACTTGTCTTCTTGGCAGAGCAGACAGTAGTATGTGGGAGTGTGTGTGTTTTTCCACACTCACCCACTTTTTTTTCTGTTTTCACCTCAGTGCAGCTGTGCATGTGCATCAAGGACGGCGTTTATTTCCTCATCCAGTCTGTTTTAATTCTCTGCATCAGTTCAAAGTTTGTACATATAAAAGCAAACAGGTAAAAACCAATTGAGGTAATATTTGTATTAAAGCAATAATGCAACACGATGCACTCGTAGCTGTCGAGCGTGCATGCCACACAAAGAAATAGTGCTCTTTTTTCCATGGTAGGACCTTTAAGGCACTAAATCGAGGTGAATGAATCCCCCTCTTGATTTGAAGAGCAACAAGCCCTTGCACACAAGCTGTTGCATTCCTAAAGAGCCGCCTCCTGGACGTACGCCGCCCATTCTCATGGGATACGTGAGCGAAGGAGGACAGTTTCCACTGCTCCACCATGAGGGCTTGGATTAATAAGAGCCTGTTGTCATAAGAACAGCTGGGACTTGCCTAAGACAAAATAAAGCAAGAGAGTTACGAGTTATGGATTCTGCTCATTGGTGCAACGTCCCCTACAGTTGGAGAATATAAAGTCCGGCTGTAATTCTCCATATTCAGCAAAATAGTTCCAACAGAGAGCAGCCGTATTGAGATAACCCACCTTCTAATACCAGCTTTTTTAACTTGCCTGTTCATGTGAAGGGTGTGTCGGCCGACTGACAGTGTAGCAGTTTTACAGAGCAGAAAACTGAAAGGCACGATAATCTCCTGAGATGACACATATTTTCCCCCCTCGCAGCAACTCTCAATGAAATGTTCTGTATGTTTACGTAACGAAGAAACTGAAACTTCCATAGTCATCTGGCCATTAAAAAATTGCCTTAGACCAAAACATAAAACAACCCAGAAAAAAAAACGCACACATTTTCTGAGAAAGTGCAGCGAGAACGCTGAGCTGAATGACTTTTCTGAAATTTGTTACAGAAGCTGAAACTGTCGTTAAAAGCTACAAAAAGCAGAACAGAAGCTAAAGATAAAAGTTATAAAAGGCTACCTAAAAGCTAAAAGCAGCTAAACTGAAGCTAAAAGTAGTAAAAAGGGCTATATAAAAATAGAAAAATGGTATCTAAAGCTAAAAGTACAAAAAAAAGTTACGTAAAAGCTAAAAGTAGCTAAATAATAGCTAAAATGAGTAGAAAAGTGTTACCTAAAAATAGCAGCATGATAGCTAAAGCTATAAGTAAGAGACGATATGAATTCACATTCAAAAATACTTTATTAATCCCAGAGGGAAATTATTTTGTTGTTGCAACTCGTTATCCTCATTTCATTAAGAGATATTATAGATGCTGATGGCTGTAGACAGGAAGGATCTCTTGTTGTAAAGGTCCATCCCACAGTGGATCCTAAGAAACTGGCTGCAGATGCCGTCCAATCCGTCCACCCAGACTCGGCTGGCCTCTCGGTTCCCCCGGGTTGTAGTACCGCCCGAATGCCGGGCAGAACTCCTCCCAGAGCGATGGCCAAAGAGACAAAGAATAGGGTGGAAACAAATTCCAAAAGGAACAAAGTTGAAAGAATTAGAGATCTGGGTATATTTCTGTGTAGAAAATATTTGTGAGCAAAGTAAAAACTTTAAAAGTGCATAAGTTACACAAACCAAAAATCTCCTGAATGAGCTGAAAGTTTTAATTTAATGAATCGTAAAAACATGAAAACTTTAAAAATAATGCTGAATCAGCATTCACACAATAAAACCAACATTCTGTTGAAACGTCCAGCTGATTGAAAAAACACTTAGTCATAATTTGTTAAAGTTAGCAGGATTGTTCTGCAGTGGTGTTCGTTGTGTAGTTGTGTGTGTGTTGCATGCCCGTGTTTTGTCTCACATCGCGACTAACAGGGTTTGTTGTCATTTGGTTTGACTTCACGATTTGCTACAAGGTGCCACTCCTAATCTGGTCTTTTGTGTCTCTTTTTATGTTTGTTGTGTTATTTTTTTCTTCCAACTGTTCGCCCTCTGTCACGGCAGAGCATCTTGGGATTGAATTTATGGGTATGAAAACATCCATTTTGATTCTCAGTCCTAGCCTCGTTCCGTCCGTCGTCGTGCTCCTGTTTGTGCCTGTGGTGTGATCTTTAAATCAAATAATCTCCCTGATTAACCAATCCACCTCTGGAGTGATCAGAACCCTGTGAGGAGTTCTCAATCAGTGCAACGTGTCGTCCCACCCCCCGGCCCAACATCATTAACATGGATGTCATTACCCTTCTACATGAAATTGGAGACGTTAACCAGTTTCTGCCTTACTCACAATACCAGAAGTGATTTATTTATTTATTTTTTAATACATCCTGGTTTCTTAAACCATCTGTAACAAGCACGATGTGTCATGTTTGTCTCTGCCAGAATCCCTCCGTCTTTGTACATATATCTGTTTCTTTGTCATGCTTTCTCTTTCTTTTGATTTATGTGTGGTTTCTACCATCTTTATTACCATTACCCTGTAGCCCAAATGTCATTTTAATGTTTGAATTATAATTTGTATGTCGCCGGTTCAAATTATTTCCTGTAAAGCATGTAATTCTACATTTAGAGCTTCCAATTTTCCTTCTATAATCTTCTAACTTCTTTTACCGTTAGTTTTTGTCTTCTGTTCCCCCCTTATTGTATTTATTTATTTATTTTTTCCAGAAAAGGGCTTCAATGCTCTGGAGTTTAGAATGAGTGCTAGAGGCATCCTTGCAGACATCATGCAATTATACATGTGCGTTCATGCACCGGACCACGGGAACACTGTGTTATTGCTGCAGCAGCAGTATCATTTCCTCCGTTTAGAGTCATTATCAGTCCATGACACACTGTGTGAAATATTATCTACAGATAAACTAACTCCTGTGATTTATTTACCACGGCAGAAATCTGACACAAATTGGTACATGGATGTGAAATGGCTGCCGGTGACTGGATGAAGGAAATCTCAGATGATAGGAGATGTGTAAATTTAATTCGTTTTTGTAACATTATTCATCAAAGACCTGTTCACTTCGTCATTTTCCTCCAGGAGGAACGGTCTACCTTGCACAAGCCCTTTTCTGGAAAAAGGAAATCATGTTGGTTATGTTTCATGAAATAATTTTTAAATAACTGTCATGAATAATTGTGAAAAGGAGGTTCTTTTATTGTACCGACTGAGAGCACGAACAGATTAAAGGTTTTATGAAAGATTAGGATTACTGAGCAGCCAGATGCTGTGATTGGCTTTCTAAACCTGAGTAGCTTTTAACCTCCAATATGAAAAGTTTCCAGCTGTTTCCAATGAAAATCTTGGAATATTACTCTATCTGTTCATTTCTGACTGGATTAGAGTTAACATCTAGTAGATCAAACTTCAAATAACTCCACTCTGTAAAGATTTATTACAGCTTTGTTCCTGCTGTTTGATAAACCTTCGCATTAGCACCAGTTTCACGTCTTGTGTTTATTCCTAAACACATTTTACAAGTGGAAGTGCAACAGCTAGGTACTGCTACTGCTATTTGAAGACACACAGAAAACAATTTGTAATTGTTTTTAAAGTAGCAGCACATTTATTGACTTCACTTTGGTCTCGGCTGTCCTCAGACTAGCCGTTAGCTCATAAATTTGGTCAGAATAAAACATTATTTCTCCAAGCAAAATCTACGGAAGACGGGATAAGGGGAGGACTCAAACTACTCAGAATTTAGACAGTCAGAAACACGTGAGTGAAAGTCAACATCCAGGTGCTGACTGTTTCCTGTCGTCTCTCTGTTGTGTTGACAGAAGCTGAGGAACTCTACCAGAAAAGAGTCCTGACAATCACGGGTATTTGTGTGGCTCTACTGGTGGTGGGCATACTGTGTGTGGTCGCCTACTGCAAAACCAAGTAAGTTATGCACTCAAAGAGGCACTGTAGATTTATCATGAGTCCTGAAGTGCAAGAGTCACTGTAGATATACTGTAAGTCCTAAGGTCAGAGAGTCACTGTAGATCTACTGTAAGTCCTACAGTCAGAGTCGCTGTAGATCTAGTGTATGTCCTACGTCAGTCGCTGTAGATCTACTGTGAGTCCAACAGTCAGTCACTGTAGATCTACTGTAAGTCTTACAGTCAGTCGCTGTAGATCTACTGTAAGTCCTACAATCAGAGTCGCTGTAGATCTATTGTAAGTCCTATAGTCAGTCACTGTAGATCTACTGTAAGTCCTACAGTCAGAGTCACTGTAGATCTACTGTAAGTACTACAATCAGTGAGTCGCTGTAGATCTACTGTAAGTCCTACACTCAGAGAGTCACTGTACATATACTGTAAGTCCTACAATCATATTGTCACTGTAGATCTACTGCAAGCCCTACAGTCAGAGAGTCACTGTAGATCTACTGTAAGTCCCACA